GCCCTCGCCGCCACTGCCTTCATCGCCACCGTTGCGTCCGCTCCCACCGCCGCCACACTACCGCCATTTCCATCCCCGCCTTTTCCACCGCCGCCATCATCACCACCGCCGCCACCGCGAGCGATTTGCTGCCTCCACCGCCACAGCTGCCGCCGCCGCTCTCCTGACGTAAGCGTGCGTGCGAACATCCGGTGCGGCCCGGCCCGGCGCGGCGCGGCGGCGCCCGCCGTGATGCGTGGCGTAAGACGGAGCTGCGCATCGCCTCCCATCGCGCGCGGCGCGGCGCGGCGCTGCAGGGGATGCAACCTCCGACCCCGTGGCGAGTCCCCAGGCCCCGGCGCGCGCCCGCCGACCTGGAATGCGCGCGGCAGCGCAGGGTGCTCGTGGGATAGTAGTGGACGGCGACGGCCGACGAAATTCAGGCAATGCCGAGCGGCGACCCAGCGACCTGACGAGGTTAGAGCCTAGGGGAACGCAAATTTTAATAGATCAGGACTTAAATTCTGGGTTACCGGCGGTGACTGCCGCTCCGCTACGAAATCGTAGGAAACCCTTGTCAAGTAATATTACCCAACAGACTGAGTGGGTAAAGGTCTGGGCAACCCTCTAGCGTGGCGTGTCAGAAACGGTCGAAGTTGAGTTTTCCAGTGAAAATGTTTCCCCTTTGAAACAATTGCTTAAAGTGTGTGGAACATGAATCCAATTGTACAAACTATTATTTCTGAACAAAGGACCGCAATGTTGTTACACTAGAAAAATACAGACGATAAACATTTATTATTAAAGGAGATATGCAAGTGCAATTAAATCGAGTACAGGTAGAGTACAGGTTTCTTACTTTCCTTCTTCAAGCATTATGTCCGTTACTTGCTCTATTTCTATAATGGGCGATCCACCAACGTTTGTTCTTTGATCACTTAGCATTGGTCATATCCATTAAAGTTAGTAGGCCATTCCTTCGAGCATACCAATAATAGCAATTGACTTGTCAGCGTACCGAGCGCTAAGCATATTCAGATGTTGGGGATGACAACTTCCAGACTTCTGACCCACTGGGTAGAACTTCAAGTCAGTTGAATACACTTTTGCCTTATTTTTGTGGTGAGGCTCAGGCGTTCTCTTCCGCCTAACGACGCAAATTTCTCTAGTATTCTTTTTCAGTCTAGCAGAGAAAAGATGTTTCATTCGGAGGAGAAAAAAGGCGATTTGAATTATTATCAAAGGCTTATTTTAGGCGTTTACGTGCAATAAATATTCAACATGATACAACAGTCAGATACGCTGTCACATTACCGAAGCCGCTACTTCAGGAAAGCTAGTGGGCTAGGAGTTTTGACTACAACTTCGTCATGCCGAGGTCCTCTTCAGCGCACTACCTTTGATTTCATCTTCTGGAGTACTCTTTTGCCTGTCTCCTACCCGCAGAGGGGATCGCGGCGGGTTGAGTAACTAGTCACGGTCTGTGGTCTGTGGTGGAGCGTAGTAGACGACCACCCGAACTCTGAGTTTTACGGCAGCACTTACGTCGATAGCTTCAATGTGGAGGCAGTGAGAATGCGATGGTATACTCCTGATTACCGGTATTGACCCTCGCCAGACACGCCTGCGGCGCGTCAACCTTAGGGCAGGGTTGGGCGTTGGGTATTTCGAATGCTCTGGAATTCACATAGAGAAGTCCGGTAGGAACCTTACACCTGCCGCCAGGTTGCCTAGATTCTGGCGATACATCAATAGCCTAAAGAGGTAGGCAGTAAGGAGCAAGCTGCAAGGGGCCCCCAAGCCACCCGAATCTTAGTTCGGGTGG